GGGATTTTTTTTTTTTTTTTTGTACCAGGGATCGAACTCAGGTCCCTGTGCTTGCAGGGCAGGCAAGGGTGGGTGGGTAGGGATGAAATCTTTAAAGTCAGAGAGTTGAGAATTCAGAGCCAGTGCTTCAGAAAAGACTTAGCCACCAGAGAGAGATTAGGGGTGTGTAGTTTAGAATTGCAATGTATTATCTGGGGGACACCAGGCAAGCTTTTGGCTTCTCTGAATGGCAAAAATATAGGGAGAGGAGCGGATAGTACTAATCTTGTAAAGTGGTGTTAAATGATTGAATACTTGAAAGTGCTTAGCCCAGTGTCTGATAAGTGTGCGCTGCCATTATTAGTACTATTAGCCAGTAGTTGTAAGATATGAACACCTATGTGCTACAAAATATCTATTATAGTTCTTCCCTCCTCCTCCCCTCCTTCTTTCCTCCTCCTTCTCCTCCCCTTCCTCCTCTTTTACATCAAAGCACCTAGGTATCAGGAAATTTTGGTTAAATTAGTAATATGTAGCCTGAAGGGTTGATCAGCAGCAACAAATCTATCAAGGGATAGACAGATATTTCAGGAAAAGTTCGGACTGCTGGGTCTGGTCAGGACTCTGCCTTGTGGCTTTGAGGACTGTGAAGGCAGCATGAGACCACAGGGCCCCGGGAGAAGAGAGTGGAAAACAAACCACACCCACGGAGTTGATGCGTCTGAGGCATGGCACAGACACACTGAAATCTGTCTTCAGGTTGCTGGGTGTCCCTTGCATATTACAGGTTCCTTATGGGGTAAATGCTCAGCCAGACCCAGAGCTAAATGGTCTGGGAACAGCCCTCATGCTAGTGTGCAGGGGTCCAGCTGGGGTAAGGATGGGGTGAATGGAAGAAACCTTGGCTTTTTTGGATCAGGAGAAGGAACAGCTGTCACAGGTGGCCTGATACCAACCAAATTGCCCATTCTGCCTTTCTCACCCCAGATCTCATAAAAGGCCAGATAGATGCCACAGAAATCAGATGGTAGTCACAATGAAAAGCAGTCCATGGCCCAAAAGGGATGCTTGGCTTCCCAGTGCTTTCCTGTTTGGCCTCCATGGAGGGCTGCATTTGTGGGAGAACTCGGGTCTAATTGCTGCAGACAGATGCTGTGTTCTCTGAGCCGAGGCAGATGGGCAGCAGGAGTAGGAGGTGGGGGTGGCTGTGTGGGAGGAGGTGACATTTGTAAATATGTCAGGGGACAATGCAAAATCAGTAGATGCAATGGGACCTGCTAAGCAAGGAGATTCATTGGCCTTTTCTAAATGATGTGCAGGTCTGTAAAGATCGCAGTGGTTTCAACAAGGGTTTTGATTCCTGATTCTCTATGATTACAGTGGGTGAATATTAACTGCCGGTTATAGCAGGATATTTTTGACCTCTTTTCCCATGACATGTTTTAGCAGAGCTGCTGACAATTTGCACAATTAACTTTCACTTTTTTCCTTCCTCATCATAAACAACCAAAGGGTCAAATAGCAGGCAGCAGAAGGAAGAAAAGCTGTCGACAGCATGGGTTGGCCTGCCACGTTCACCAGTCTCCGAAGAGCCAAGTGCGGATGTGAACAGGAATGTGGCTCCTTGACCAGGGTTTCCCTGGGGCAGCCACTCCCTAGGCCAGGGCTCTAACCAAGCTCTCTAGGCTACAGCAAGCCCCATATAATCTAGCTTTATGCTAAATGTGAGTCAAATCTCAATGAAAAGGTTGCAATTTGCCTTCCTAGAACCTCATCTGATTCAATATCCGGCTCCTTACCCCTTTGTCCAGAGGGACCTTCACATCCATAGAGAAAGAACCTGTTTCCCCATTGATCATGGCTGTTCTCAGCTTCAAGAGGAAAGAGAATGGGGTTAGTTCCATGCCTCACACCAGAGGATGAGGGGACCTGAACTTTACTGTATAGGGGATCCCTTGGGACACTTGGTTCTCCCATTTTTCTTCTGAGCAGAATACCAGGAGGGAAGAGAGACCTGATTCCAGGTGCCAACTAATTAATAATTCTGGGCAGTCCCCAAGACAGTGGTCCAGAGGTGCATGAGGAACTGGGGGAGCCAGTGTCATGTTGCCAAGACATAGTTTCCTCTAAGATATCACATGGAGACTAACACATCATGGAAACTCAGACTCAGTAGTGAAGAGATGGGAATTCATTCTGCCTTATAATCCTGTGACTTAGGAAGATATATTTTCTTACTTGGTAAAATAATTACACCTTATAGGAATTCTGGCTGGAGTTCATAAAGGCTCGGGGATCGAGCCACTCTGCCTGTGCAGAACAGAGCAACCTTCAAGCCTGCAGTCATTCATTGGTTTGGCATGGAGCCGCGTAAGCTGGCTTCTCTTTGCCCTTCTTTCCCCCACTCACGACTTCAGCTTGGTCTTCCCACTCCACTTCGGAGAGGTCCACACTGTTGTAGTTGGGTTTGGGCTTTAGTGTCTTCCCCTCTCTGTACTGGAGTGGGTGGGCAGGAAGGAATATACCAGGTTAGCAAGTGGCTCTACTCCTCTTCCCTCTATTACATAAAGCCTTTCATGTATACAAATGAAATCAAAGAATCTTAGGGATTCCTTAAGCTATCTGGACCAAACTTCCATCCAACGCAGAGCTTTCCCTTGCCAACACTGGGACAGATGGTCTCACGGCCGCTGGGTGGATATTTCCCATGACGAGGACCTCCCTATTTTGTGAGTCATGGTTTGGACAGCTCTAATTGTTAGAAAATTCTTCCTCCTACAGACCTGGAATTTGCCTCTCTGTAACTTTTATCTGCTGATCTTAGTTCTTTCCCCTGGAGCCACAGAATGTGCTCTTCCTGAAAACCCTTCAGAGGTTCAAAGGCCCCATCACTCTTAGGACCAATTCTCCCAGCCCAAAGTCCCCAGTTTGCAGAAGGTTCGGCTTCTTCTGAATCCCTGCTGCTTTGTCAGTGTCACCAAAGAAAGGAGATTCCGGGATGAAACTCAACACTCCACATGGAATCTGGCCAGTGTGGCGTGGGACACATCTGTGAACCAAAGTATCCCTCAGCTCTAACAGCTGCCTAGGAGCTTGCTAGCTTCCTGGGCAGTTGGACTGCTATGGCAGCTGAGATGCAGATCACAGTCAGTCAGACTTTGGTCTCCCTCTGTCCTGTGATGCACTGTTGAATCATGTATTCACAGTCGTATGTTTGGGAAGAGTATTTTGCAGAGCTTTCTGCACATTCCTAATCAATGCTATCTCATTAGTTTTAGCTCATTGCTTTATGAGAATACTTTCTTGTACTCATTCTCTCACCTACTACAGAAGGTCTTAGCCATAGCTTGCAGACCCAGTGGCATCTGTCATGTGCATTTTCATCTCATGGGAAGTTGTGAATGGGACAGAACCAGGGGAAGATCTGAAGGGCTTGATAACAACCTGTCTCCAACTTGACAAATAACCATTAATTAACATTCTATCACAATTATTTTCTCGCCTTGACATTCCCTCACCCCCACGCTAAGACAAATATCACCAAATATCTACAATTAAGTCTTCAGCATTTCTCAGGTTTAGTTTAGTAGCCCCACTGTAAAAGGAAAGAGGATAGTTAATTATCAGGGTAAATTAAAAACCTGACTGTCTACTTTAATAAAATGAGGCCCCCAGCAGATCGATGCTTGCATGGTTGAAGTTCTTGTCCTGTGTATTTTGATTCTGAGAGTATTTTTGTTTGTTTGCTTAATCACTTTTTCCCCAGGAAAGCATCATTCTGGTTTCTTGCCTGTCCATGATGTCTGTAGTGCACTCCCTTCATTTTTCTTTTCTCCTCCCTCAGGCTGCACGATGTTCCCGCGTGTTGCCTTATTGCTGTCCATGTGCACTGAACAGCACTGTCCTGCCATCTTTCACGTTCAGTCTGTTTCTTTGGAAGTGCAACACTCCACTGCCATTTCCTAAATGCTGATACCCCACGAAGGGCCATATTTGGCCCCTCATATTAAATCCACAATTCTGCTGTATTAGGGGCACTGACGTAGGCAGAGTTCAGACCCGTTCATGACTCACTACCTTTTTATTTATTAATAGGAACATCCTTTAATGTTTTCCTGAGAGTGGCTGCTCTGGAGAGCTCATGACATTGGCTTTGCCACACTTCTTATGTAATCACGTCCCATATGGCATTATTCCCTATATTCACTAATTGTTTTATTTGTATAAACTTTACTTCCTTAATTCAACATAAACTTTTGTTCATAGCATTCTTCTAAGCACTATATGGTCAGGCACACAACAGAGGCAATTTGCAATATGAATTGATTGGTGAAAGCCTTATATTTATCTGGATGACACAGATGGTGACAGGTAGGTTTCTGATTAGAGCCCTTAATTCTACAAGTGAGCTTGAGGATCAACATCAGTATCATTTCTTCTCCAGTGAGACAGTTGCCAGCACTGAGGCTGTCCCCCACTGAACCCACTGGCCTAGCACTGTGACAGGTTGTGGGTAGAGATGCTTACCCCTCAGAGTGTGAATTGGGAAGGCAGAAGGGACTGGGAGTCTCTTGTGTGCTCTGATCTCTGTCTACCATGAACCTTGTGGTTTGCCTAAAATAGTTCAATTAATTGCCTTGCGGACACTCAGTATCTATTTGAGCCCAACAGAATGGACTGTGGTGTAGACTGGTCTTTACTAAAGACATCAAGGGCAAAGAAAAGTCCCCAGGGTTGTATTGTCTATTACTCTCTCTATTTCTTGACAGAAGACTGAGAAAGAGAGAGTGCTAAGATCCCTCTAGGACTTCAGCTCCCCTACCAATCATTGCACTGCAAGGTGCAGCCATGATGACAATGGACACTGCCCATGCACTGTGGCCAGAGAAGGAGAGCACCTTTCACCTTAGGGCAGGCCTTTCAGGCAGAATGATGCAACTTTCTTTTTTCAGACACCAGTTGCTCAGTTTAACTCCTGAGAAAATATCCTGAGGCCCTGTATCAAAATGAAGAGAGCTAGAAAGGGAGTAGACTTACTCAGAAACATCTTAGGACAAATTCGTGGGCCTTGTACCACTGCCTCTCACCTGTCACGAGAGGTCTCCTGTCATTTTTATAGTGAGCCCATTGTTTGTGCTCTATTCAGGGGTCCCTGGAGTTCTGCTGATAGACTTGTTAAGGTGCAAGAGGAGCAGAGCTACCAAGGCAGCGAGGAGACTGTGGGTAAAAGTCTTCTGTGCCTGAATCTGTAATGTTCTCTAAAAGCTCAAGTAATACAGGAACAGACCCCAGCCTGACACTATTAGAGGGTAGTGGAACTTTTGAGGGGTGGAGTCCACTGGGAGCAAGTTAGGTCACTGTTGGTGTGTGACTGCAGAGAAGATTCTGGACTTGTGGTGTGTTTGTCTCTCCTTCTCTCTTCTCCCACCACCACTAATACCATACGCTCCTGCCGTAATGTGATGCCCCACCGTCACCAAAAGCCTAAAAGCAATAGGTCAACTGACAATGAATCAAAACCTCCAAAACTGCAAACCAAAATAAGTCTTTCCACTTTATAAGTTGATTTTCTTAGGTATTTTATTAGGGTAATGGAAAGCTAACACACTGTCCTATGAGCTCTTTAGCTTCAAAACTACAGCCTTAACTTACATGCTCTCTACTGTGCTTATCAATCATTTCACATATTTTTGTCTTGTCTCTATTGGTAGGTTGTAGACAACTTGAAAACAGGGACCATGACTTAAATATATTTTTTCTCATGTTATTTGACTGCTTTGTGGACTATCTCCAAAGCCCATATTATTAGGATCCCAAGGCAAATACGATTTGTACCTACCAAGGGTCGAAGGTCAGGGTGTGAGAGGATGTAGCCGTTGTTAGTGTTCAGGAAGGCATATCCATGTACTCCAAGCTGCCAGAGTCAGGATTGACAGCATTAGATGCTGTTTATATTGGATGACTGGAGTGGGGAAGGGGTTTGTGGCTGCACGATGGTTCAAGATGGCAGCTCACAGCTGTGAGATTTTCCAGATGCAAATGTAACTGAGCCAGCATCACACTTCCACTCATTGATTCTGAAGGCCTTTCCAAATCCTACTGTCTGGGGCAACCACATCAATGCATGTCATTCATTGCCTGACTCTTTCCCAACACACACTCTAGGTGCCTTGATGGTGTCATCTCATTCACTCTCAAAACTGGACTGTGGGGTCTGGAGAAGCACATTGAGAAACGGAGGCACTGGGCAGGCAAATAACTTCCTGAAGCCCACAGAGCAAGTCACAGCTAGTGATGGCAAAGAGTCCCAGAAGGATAAACTATTGCTGCCATGCTCAACATTACACCTGTGTGGACCTCAGATGGAGCAGCCCCTTCCTAGTTGTGGGCTTGGCTGCAATTGTCTGGGGAGAGGCTCTTGGGCCTGGTGGGGCAGTGCCAGGGAGCCTATGGTTTATAGTCTAGATCCTAAATATCTCCCAAAGGCTTCCATACTAAAGGGTTGATAGGTGGGACCTACCGGGAAGAAGTTAGGACTTTGGGGTTAGGTGTGTCTTTGAAGGGCAAGCCCCTTCCTATCTCTCTTCCATACTGCTATGAGATGAGCAGTTTTGCTCCATGCAAGGTTCTCAGCATCATTTGCTATCTCATCACAAGCCCAAAAGCAACAGAGCCAACCAGCCATGGACAGAGCCTTCTGAAATCATGAGCCAAAATACCACCCCACCTTTTTGGTACCAGGGGTTGAACTCAGACAGGGCAAAGAAAAGTTCCCAGGGTTGTATTGTCCTGAACTCTCTCTATTTATTACTTGACAGATGACTGAGAGAGAGTGAGAGAGAGAGTGCTAAGATCCCTCTAGGACTTCAGCTAAATCCCCAGCCCTTTCCCCCTTTCAAGTTGATTTTTCTCAGGTGTTTTGTAACAATGATGAGAATCTGACTACCCCTGCACCCCCACCCAAGGTAGGGATTGACCCAGGCTCACCTTGTATCGGGGTGCCAGCTTCATCAGCTCTCTCAGGGTCACATCAGAGCCCACCACACCCAAGAGAATGCCATGAGATCGCTGGAAGAGAGCCCGGGGCAAGGGAGGGCAGGTTTCCCTGTGAATCAGGCCAGACAGGACTCTAGGTCTTTTTAGAGCCTGGATGAGAAAGCCACTTAGGTCTCAGGCAGACCTTCCTTGCAGTTAGATTTTAGCTCTCTAAATGAAAATTTAGAATCTAAATGAAAATTCAGGAAAGGCCCTGGGAGCACTCTTAGCTGTTCAGAAGATTAATGCCCAGTGTTAATATTTCAGTGGTAATATTTAAATGAAATACAAAGTTGAATGAAATATTAATCTTTACAGCAGAAGCTGAAGTACTGAGATCCTAGTGACTCAAAAGCACATGGAGCCCATAAGGAAGCATTTCCTGACCAGAGGGAGGATGAAAGGCTCTAGAAATTCTCTCAGAGGCCTTCAGAGCTAAGCTAGGGTCTGCCCAACCTGGTTTTGCTAGAAGGCTGGCAGATGCCCCTTCCAGCCTTGTATCCCCAGAGTAGTGGTTCCAAGGGCAGAGTGGGAGAACTGGCCCCCAACTGGCTGAGCAGAATCACTGAGGGATGGAAGCTTTGGGAAAGTATAGATCTCCATTCTCTCCACTGACCCAAGATTGCAATGTCGTTAGTGTGGGGCAGGGTACGGGAGTCTGCACTAAAATCCTCTCAGGGTGGCTTTGATGCTCACCCAAGTCAGAAGCAACGGGCCCATAAAGGTGTTCTGGTCCCTGCTGCCACCTCTCAGGGAGTGGCGACTCACCGTTTCATTCTTTTTGCTGAAGACAGGCATGGCCACAGTGGTGAGGAGCATCGAGCTCTGTGCCTTTGAGGAAAGGAGCTGCCAGAGAGGAAAGGGCAGATGTTGGGGGAGGCCGAGAGGCCCATTGGCATGCCCTACTCAGAGCACGGTGTGGAGCTGTCAGGAATGCTGGGGGACAGATGACTGAGCAGGAGCCCCAGGCTCATGTCACCTGGCCAAGTCTGAGCCCACACCTACCTCCCAAGCACACTCCCAAGCTCTGTCATTTTGGCCAGGCCACAGGTGAGCCTGAACTGGGGAAAATAGCCCATTCTGTGCCTAGCCAGAAACAAAGGGGCTTAGTGTGGCAAGAGCATTTGCAGAAACCTCTGATATGGATCTGGGGTTGCTATGAACCGTAACAAAGGGCAGGTGAAGTGGAAGAAGGACACTGCTCCAGAGCCACCTTCCAACATGAGCACATGTGTGAGGAGCCAGAGTGAAGCAGGGCGTGGTGCAGCTATCATCTGCCTCGGGCCACCTCTACTGTCCCCGGGATGGACCCACAGCTCTCTCCACTCAGAACTCAGAGCCAGAATTGTGCTCCCTGCCCTCCCCGGGATGGCTCCCACCACAGCCACCTCATCTCACTGTGCCAGTTTCCTTAGCAGCCTGGACAGGGACTCCACACACGCTTTGTTTCAGCTTTGAAACAAAGATGGCCAGTGTGAAAAGTACATATGCAGACACGCTATTCCAGCCTGACTTTGTTCAGCTCAACTAAAGGAGGTTGCTGGGTCATGGACGTCTGCAGGACACTTTTTGGAAAAGGAAGAATTTTGGCCATCAGTCTTCCCGTACCTCATCTGATTTTTCAACGTTGAGCTGGGAGATAAGACTTTCTGAAAGTGGACCGCAGTGACATCCTCTTGTGTTCTGTGCACAGACATATCTTTGTGGGTGACACGAAAGCTCTCAAGTTTCCCTGAGATGTGGATTAGTGGAGGTGTCCATGGGCTCGCAGCCGCCAGGTCTTGGCTGGTCTCCCCTTCCCCACCCTGCCTCTTAGGGACCATTCTACACTGGGGTGAGGCACTGGTGCAGGGTGGGGACATCTGTGCACCCAGTGGACTAACAGCCTCATTTCAGAGGTTCCTGAAGTGGTTCCAGGAGACCCTGGCCCCAGGGAGTCCAAAATCAGAGAAGGAAAAGGAAAGATGAGGGGAGAGGGGATTTTAATCGAGGGGACAAGTATCATTTTGTAAAAGTGAAGATAAAGCTGTGACTTCACTTATGTGCTTGGAGGGAAGCAGAACCCTGGAAGGTTGTCCATGAAATAGCTGAGGACAACCTGACAGAACCTGCGCAGAAAAGGAACTGCTGTTTGTGTGTATGGTACTGGGGATGGAATTCAGAGCCTTGTGTGTGCTGGGCAAGTGCTCTAGGACGGAGCTACATCCCTGGCCCTTTCTATTTCATTTTGAAAAAGGTCTTGCTATCTTGCCCCATCTGGCTTTGAACTTAAATCCTCCTGCCTCAGCTCTAAACACCTGAGATTACAAATGTGCATCACCACATCTGGCACAAAGTCACTTTTATGGTGTTACAGGAAGACAAGATGTTGCGCTACCCGTATTCATTCTCCTCTCCCTGCTCCCTCTGCTAAACACACACCCAAGCACTGCCATTGTTATGCAGGGAACCGGCCCTCGCCGGTTGTGGGGTTCCGAAGGGCTTCCTCTGCCGGCTCCCTCCACTCATCTCCACGCTCTACAGGAGGAAAGCGCACACTCCGCGTGCTGGAAGACGGCGCCCCAGACTGGCAACTGCTGTAAGGCTGCATGGCCGCAGGACAGAGATGGATCAAGGGCCAAAGAGCGTGGAGGGCGGCACGGTGAGTGGGGAGACAAGGTCAGGGCACATCTCTCCTCCTGCCCCATCGCTCTCCTTCACCTGGGACAGAGAGGGCCCTACGAACAGTGAGAACCTGGAGGGAGCGTGAAGCCTGCCTGCGTGCAGCATGCTCTTCCCTTCTGAGCATCGGCCTTGGGCCAGCAGCTGGCGAGAGTCCAGTAACATGCCCAGGGCGTGCCCTATTAGCAGAGGTCCCTTTAAAGTCAACCAGTGTGGTTTTAAATCCCAAATTCGGCAAATAGTTCGTATGTGCTATGAAGAGATAAGTGTGCCACCGCCCTAAGATATACAGCAAGTCAGAAGAAAAGCAGAAAAACTGAGTTCCCAGCCTCCTTTGCTCCTTGGAGTGAACCTGTAACTGTGTCCTGGTTAAAGACAGGTAGATTCATGTCAGGAAGCCTCCTGAGAAGTGTTCTGTAAAGGGGTGGAGCACAGCCCCCTCCCTTTCCACCTTCCCAATGCCTGTATGTGGTTTCAGTTGGCCAGGATTCCACCAGCCACTCTGACTAGGAGGATGAGGATCGCATCCTAGGGACTGTGAAGAAGCCAGTCCCTGGTGACTGGTGAGCTCCTCCCCAGCTCAAGATGCCTACCTCTAAACCTCTTTCGTGTGTGGAAGAGCTATACTTCCATCTTACTTATGTATTTATTATACCACGAATCAAATTCAGGGCCTCACGCTTGCCAGGCAGGTGCTGCACCACTGAGCTACATCCCCAGCCTTTTCCATCTTATTTAAACCAGCATTTTTGGATCTCTCTTAATATCAGTCTGATACGCTGTCAGGAAAGCAGGTGGCTGCATAGTGGTGTGAGTTGAGAAGTGGCAGGAAGGCCTCCCTTCCCCAAAGAATCTAACCTGACTTCTACCTTTGGTATCTAGTTTTTTTGTGTAAGACATCATTTCCCACAGTTTCTTTGAGATGTGGGGATCCCAGGGTGTGGGGGGCACTGTGATGGTGAGCTATGGATGTAATAACAGCTTTCTTCCCAGAACAGGAGGAAGAGAAGGACAGTGAATGAGGTGGTCCTGGGGTGGAGGGAGGGATGAGCACATTTGAGCAGGGGTCCCTGTCCACAGTGGGCAGCCCTGGGCAGGTCTGTGGGGACCAGGGGTCTGGATCTCTGGGGACAGCACACAGGCAGAGGCCTGGTTAGTGGGCTGAGGCCTGCTGAGGGAAAGAGGGGAAATGTCTTCCCTTCATGACTTTTCCTGAGAAAGTATGATGCTCACCTTCTCTGACCCAGAAAGCTACCTCCCAGTTCCACAGCCACGCTCAGGCCCACCTTGCTGTCCATGTAGGCTTCTGTCCAGATGACGTCGTGGTCATGGTGGATGACCATGGGCCTGCTGAGCACATGCAGGTATTCCATCACATTCTCCTGGGCATCAGCCAGTGTGGAGATCTGTGTGTAGTAGCCTGGAGGAGCCCATAGGGTTGGGCTGCAGAGGGGCCCTCCACTCAGTCCCTGGATAGCCCTGCTCACACCTCTCTCTGGGATCAGAGGGCCCCAGGGGCCTGCCTCCTTGGGGTATGTCTCAACCCCAGGGTGGCTGGAGGCCTGTGGGAGATGAAAGCCCACCTAGCTCAGCCTGGGAGAGCTTCTAGGAAGCCTGAGCTCTCCAGGAGAGCAGCAGGGGCCTAGACTGCCACAGTAGCATTCCTCAGTAAGCCTCTAATGTCACTGGATCCTAGGTTCTGCTTTCGGGGCAGATCTGAGCAGTGGTCCTTGTCCTTCTCTAATCCCAACCTCCTTATTTCCCTGACCATAACCATTGTCTTTCCTTAGGCAGGGGGGCTGGGCACTGCTTTGGCCTCTTCACTGTACTCATAGTGATATTTAAAAAGGCAAATGGCTTCTAAGGGTATGAACGCTTTAGTACAGCTTCACCTCTCTGGCCTCACTGCCTCTCACAAAACGTTCATTCTGCATGCCAGTACAACAGAATAGCTTTCCATTCTCAGCAATTCCCTTGCCTCAGACCCTTTGAGCACATGTTGTTCCTCCTGTCTGGAATCCTTCCCTGCCACCCCCAAATGGGGGGGAGGGAGAATGCCTCTCCATGGCTCCTGCAGCATCCTGCTTAGTCTGTGCCTCCTACCAGACCCTGTGCTCAGCACCTGAGATCACTAGGGACATTGTCCCACCTGTGTGCAGGCTTGGGCTGCAAGGTGCCATGCCAGTACCTCACGCACCTTGGTTGTTGCAGGCGATCCACTTGAGGCGGTCAGCAAAAGTCACTTCTCTCCCAATAAGGTAAGTGAAGACTCGGACCTAATCCATGAGATACAGGAGAGCAGCCCCTCTTTATGTGAGACTTAGCTGTTGGGTCAGCCACGTCTTGGGTTTTGAGTTCTTCACTCATCCCCTTCCCTCCTTTTTCTTCTGGTACTGGGGACTGAACTTCGTGCCTTTGCACTGAGCTATATCCTCAGCCCTTTCTAAAGTTTTTTGAGACAAGGTCTCACTAAGTGGATAAGTTGCCCAGGCTAGGCTGGAACTTGTGTTCCTCCTGCTTCAGCTCCCAGAGTGCTGGGACTGCAGGCTTGTATCATTATACCTGCTTGTACCCCTTTTAATCAGAAAAGACCCCAAGGGCTGAGCAGCAATGTGACTTTCCCACGGCCATGGTGATTGTGGAGCGGGTTCAAGGCCAGTCAGCCTGGCAGTTTTTAAGTCTCAAAACCATGTTCTGGTCTTTCACCCCGAAACCCCTCACATCAGCTCTGGGCCCAAAGTACCACAGTTTTGGGACATCTAATTAGGACATGCCAGAATTTATGAATGGCTCTAATGGGAAAGGACTTTGATCCTGAAGGTGTCCCATTGTCTTCCCATGGCAGTGGGAGAGCTCTACCTCTGGGAGTGGGAGAAACTCCCCTCTCCCCTCCCATAACTCCATCAAGAGTCACCTTGCGGTCTGGCAAGTTGTACTTCTCAAGCACTGGCTTGTAGTCCTCCACCGCCCCATCCGTGATCAGCATGATGGCCTGGTTGCAGAGACTTCCTCTCCCAGCCTCTTGGAACTGTGTGAGGAAAAGGAGGGAGCAGTCACACTAGGCCACAACTGCCCACCCTCCACCTAGGCCCTTTCTCCTATTCCCTTAGCCCTTCAGGCTTCACAGCTGCAGGCACCTGTTTCAGGATCTGGAAGGCCTCGGTCAGGGCTTGGTCCACGACCCCCACACCTTTGACCACCAACTCATGCACCAGCTGTTTGAGATGCTGTCAGGGTGAACATTAGAGGGGGCTCAGTGGATGGAGTAGCCAGAGACCTCTTGTATCTGGCTAACTGGGGAGGCTGATTAGATCTAATGCCAGAGGATATGATTGTAGGATCCCTGCTTGCAATGCAGCTAATTCCATGGACTGGATCCCCAAAACAGATGTTTCTCAGATGTCCCCAAGGGAAGTAGAGGGAGTGTGAATGGCCTGGTACAAATCCATATCCCATGCTGGGAAGAAGTGCCAAGAATCCTGCCAACCAGAGGGAGAAGGGCAGTCCAGGGATGGAGGTGAGGGATGACCTCGGCATCCAGCCCTTAAGTACCAAGGTTGAAGATCAGGAGGAAGCTAAACCCAAACTCTCTGATCACAGACAGACATGCAAATTCTCCCCTTAAAAATTGGCGTTCTGTCTTCTTATCTTTGTTTTTCTCTCAGAGAAAAAGACTCAGCCCAGTGGATTCGATTTGTCCCCCACTGGGGAAGTTCCTCATGAAGGCTAACATGGAGGAAAGGCTGACTGGGATGCGATGTGGGGGCTGAGTCCCGGAACCTCCGCAGGAGAAGGCTGGTCTGAGTGAGCAAGATCCTGCAGAGGAGGTCACCTTGCTCACTGGAGCTCAGATAAACAGCAGTACCTTGGTCGGGGTGGGTTCTCAGGTGTCTGCAGGGTAACTGCTGACTTGCTTTATTCCTCCAAGCACCATGGGCATAGTGAAAGGGACCAGGAAGTAGGCTTGGCAGATGCTATTCCTGTCATGACAAGGGCATCAGGCCACAGACAGGCACTCACCTCTCGGTTGTCTCGATCTGCCTGGACAAGGATGCCTTTAAAACAGGGCTCGATGTAATGGACATAGTCATTGTACTGTGGTCGCAGCAAGAGGAGGGAGAGAACAGACAGATCAGCATGGAAAGTCAGGTCCTGCAGGCCTGACTCAGGAGGGCTCAGGCACCTCCCAGCATGCACTGAGGTGCTGTGCACCATCAGCTTGGGGTACACTGTGCCTTTTGCCATTTTTCTGAGCAGACAGAACAGCAGGGCCTTGGATCTAAAGATCCTCCCTTATCCCCTGATCCCTCAGAACTCAGAGAGTTTGCTGTTATAGGAGAAGGTCTGTGCCCTTTGCTCCGGAGATCAGCAGGGAGCCCTCTACCTGAGCCCCACAGCCTCATTCCAGGGGGCTGGTGTAGGGTTAGAAAATATGCACTCTCTTTCTGGTCCCCCACCCCGCCACCCCGCGTCTTACTAATTTGTCCAGGCTGGCCAGCCTTGAACTTGCAATCTTGCTGCCTCAGTCTCCCAAGTATCTGCTATGATAGGCACGTACCACCACTCCAGACCAGAAACGGCTCTCTTGTTCTTTGCCCTGCACATATAAAGAGGATCCTGCAGCTTTCCAGAGGGATGGGAATAGGGAGAAAAATGAGCTATTACTTCCCCCTCTCTTAATCACCCTCTTCCCCATATATATATATATCTAGAAAACAAATCTTTCAAGTGTCCCTAGTTCATCTTCTACTTAAAGAAGAAGGGTGAGGAGGGGACAGTGGTGTCGTCATGGAAGAGCTGCATGAATGTCAGCAGTGCGTTCTTCTCTTTGTTGCTGTTGACCACCGGCTGGGAGGCTGGGCGGGGAGGTGGGGGTGGGGAAGAAGGAGCAGAAGGCTCCAAGGGAGGAGCACACTGTGCCTTGTGGAGTGTGGAACCTCTGTTCTGTGGCTGTCCTGTGGCAGCTGCAGGTCTGGGGACAGGGAAAGACCTCAAGGGAGCAGCTCAGGGGCTGGGGGACTTTCTCACACCCCAGCACAATCATCTTGTGGTTAAATAATTTTGCCTTGCTATTCCACCCCTAGCTAAGTAAATTCCACAAAGGACAGGAAATGCCAGCTATGTGGCATACTGGTGCAAGAGGTCTTTAGATCAGGTGGTGTCACAAGGACGCCTGAAGGTGGCTGTCCCCTCTCTTGGGGGAGGGCTGAACTGGCCCACCCTCCTTTTTATTGCTTTTTAAAAGCATCCTTCTAATTCGTGTCCTTGTTTCTTTCTTTTTATTCCTTCTTTCTTCCATGAGTTTGGCTTGGGTGGGATAAAGGGACTGGGAGTAGGACCAGGTCAGTGACAGTGTGTGCTGAGAGCACACAGAGGAGGGCAGGGCAGGTGTCACTCAGGCCAGTGGTTCTTCATCTATGTTAGATGCAGACTCTTCTGAGAAACTGACAAAAGAGATGGGCTTGGGAAAATAGACCTGCATCCTCTACATACTTTCAGACCTCTTGAAGCCCATCTCTGGCAGAGTATGGACCCTTGGTGAAGAGCCCCAGGTTTAGAAGAAAGACTCGCCCTCCAGGAGAAGGCATCCACTGGCTATAAGAATGTGTTATCCTGTTGCAGATAGAAGAAAGGTTCTCTAGGGAAGCAAGAGCTACTCTAGAGCAGGAATGCATGCCTACCGCAATGATGTTGATGAAGTCATTCTCTCCCAGGGTGTCCAAGATGGTGGTGATGGTGTGCTTGGCAATAGCCATCCTCAGCCCCTTCATGCTGCCGCTCATGTCAACCAAAATCACTATGTCCTTGGGAGAAGTAGCTGCTTGTATGTACCTTTAGCAGAAAGAAAGGAACAGACCAAAGATGGGAAACCAGAATAGCCCCTTGGCCATTAGCCTCATTTGTACAGTATTTGTATTCTGGTCCAAGTGCAGCAAAATTCAGGTCAGTGTCCCCTTGGTGCTCGTTTTTACCATGCCTCATAAACACCGGGCACCGAAGCCATTGGGGTGGAAATAATGGGGAATATGTTCACCTAACGGGCCTGGTCAAGCCCGGGGGTAACACTTGCCCTTTTTATTTAGACCAGCTGGGCATCCTGAGGGGCTAGCCAAAGGACAGGAGACAGCTGCATTCCAACCTCAGCTTCTGCTACAAATCTGCCAGAACAGGGGTGCTGGGGAGAGGAGAGGTGGAGGGAGGGTTGATGTGGAGGCAGCTCGGTGTCTTGGATGGAAGACAAAATGATCCATCCAGGAGCGAGTGCAGATGTGGGCGGTGGGTGCAGCTGGCGACTCTTCCTACTCTCATGTTGGATTAAGGTCTATGCATCCAAACCCTGGGGTAGTGGGAGAGAAGGGAGCAGGCAAGACAAAAAGGAAGCTGTGAGACAAATGCCAGCACCAGAGGCATTTTTCCCTGTGAGCTCTTACCAGCCGCGGTCCCGGCAGTCAAAGGCAACGACTCCATTCTTATCAGGTGTCCATTTTATACCTGGGGAATAAAAGGGGATTCTTTCACTCACCTGAAGGGGCTGCCCAGAGCCCCTGGATGGATGCTGGCTCCCAGGATAGCCATGCCCCCCCCAAGGTAGGACCTTCTTTGGACTGTTAGACATAGCCTAAAAACTTAGGTCAGAAGGACACACATGTTCCTTTCAAGCACACATGAGATATTTACAAAATGTGGTGACATACTAGGCTACTGGAGTAAATCTCAGTTAATTTCACACAAAACCATACACATGTGCTCTCTGATCATAGTGCAGTTGAGGCAGACATCTAGAATGAAGAGATAAATATAAAGTTTATATATGTTCTGAAATTTTAAAACATATTTTTAAATAAATTACCACTGAAGAAATCAAAAGGAAACGTAAAATACTATTTATAAATAAATGGCAATTAAAACACTGCTATGACAGTACAACTACAGGCAACAAAGAAAAAACAAACAAATTGGATGTCACAGTTAAAACCTTCTGAGCGGGGCATGGTGGCGCTTGCCTATAATCCCAGCACTTGGGAGGCTGAGGCAGGAGGATCACTGTGAGTTCCAGAGCAGCCTGGGTTACATAGTGAGTTCCAGGTCAGTCTCAACTACGTAGTGAGACCCTGTCTCAAACAACAACAACAAACAACAACAGAAAACTTCTGAGCACCAATGGACATAATAGAGTGAAAAGAGAATCCAGAGAGTGGGAGCAAATGTTTACAAATTATATATCCACCTGATAAGATTGACAGCCAGAATATATAAAGAATTCCCCTAACTCAAGAACAACAAAACAAAACAAACTGACTTAAAAATCTATCAAGAACTTGACTAGATATCTTCCAAAGAAGATATACAAATGACCAATAAACACATGAAAAGATGTTCAACATCATTAGTCATTAGGGGACTGAGAATGAAAATCAAGATGAAACACCACAGCATACCCATTCAGAAGGCTATTATTATTATTTTTTTAAAAAGCAGACAAGGGCTGGGGATGTAGCTCAGTGGTGCTGCACCTGCCTGACAAGAGCAAAATCGTGAGTTCGATTCCTGGTACTGAGAGGAAACAAACAAACAAACAAAAAAACCCTCAAGAAAAAAACCAGTAACAAAGCAAGCAAAAAGCAGCCAACAACTTGAAAATGTGAACAAAAGATCCAGAAAATAACAATCTGGAGAGGATGCGGAGAGACTGGAACTTTTGTACATTGCTAATGTGAATGTAAAATGGTGCAGCTGCTGTGGAAAACAATGTGGCAGTTCCTCCAGAAGTTATATGACAGCTATCCTATGATCTAGCAGTTCTCCCTAGAATATACCCAAAAGAATTGAAATCAGAGTCTCGAAGAGTTACTTATATACCCACATTCACAGCATTATTCACAATAGCCAGACGATGAAGCAACTCAAATGCACGCTGGTAGATAAATGAAGCAGAAGGTAGTATGTACGTACAATAGAATGTTATTCAGCCTTGAAAAGGGGGAGATTCTGACACAGGCTACAACACGGAGGAGTCTTGAGGGACGTGTATTAAGTAAAGTATATAAAAAAGACAAATGATGCATAATTCCACCTTTGCAAAGTTGTTAAATTCATAATACAATGATGATTGCCAGGGATTGGGGGAGGGGGAAAATTGTTGCACACTTTTTGAAAATGCACTTAAATATTTAACAAATAGTAAATTTCATGTTATCACAATTAAAAAGAAAAGTTAGAAAAAACTCATTACCAATCAAAACTTGTGAGATGCAAAAAAAGTGAAGTTTCTAGTGACATGGTATAGCCTTAATACTTACTTTAGAAACAAATAAGGCTAGAAATTAAAGCAAAGCATCCATTTAAGAAGTTAGGAGAGAGAGAGCAACAGAATAACTCCAAAGAAAGGAAAAAGAAAACATAAGAACATTAGCTCTAAGGTAGATAAAATAAAAAACAAACAGTAGAGAACAACCAACAATGATAAAAGATGATTCTTGGAAAGGCTGTAGAGAAGCCAAGGGAAATTAAGAAAAAAAAATTATACAATATATTAAAAGGGACATAATTATAGACTGGATTAAAATAATAAGAAAGTAATAAATTTATATAAATAAATTTGAAAGCTCAGGTGAAATGGATATACCCTGATTAAAAGTATCCTATTAAATTTAAAAAAATTTTTAAATTGAATTTATTGGTACATTCTGGGTATACAGTACAGTTACATTCATTACTGGGATCTTGTACCTTTACATGCCAGGTCTTGGTTCTCATTTTTTCCCCTTGTCCCCACCCTCCCTTCACCCTCCGCTCCCCTCCCCCACTTCAAACACTTTAATTCCATTTTTACATTTTCTCATATTGTTTTCCTTTTCCCTTATTCCCCCTTCCCTATCCTTCTCACTGTCCCTACACCTTTTGTCCTTTTCTTCCTATTTGCTAATTGTCCCATTCCTATTAAATTTTAAGAATAGAAGGCCACATTAGTCTTGCAAGTGTTAAACATATTGAAATGGTAATTTTATATTCCCATAAAGAAACAATGGGCCTACATATTTTTATAATGACTTCTATCAAGCTTTCAAGAAAGAGATCCTTTAATTTTATTAAAATAATTCCAGAAACCAAAGAAAATACTTCTCAGTTTATTTTGAAGTGAAATAATTTACTTTGATAACAGCGCAGGAAAGAAAATGACAAGATGATTTCACTTATATAAATGTAAAAATACTAATCAAAATATTAATAAACCAAATCCAGCAATGTCCAAAAGGATTTGCAACCTGCAAGGGCAGTCTTTGATGGTAAATTGCATTTAATTTTTGTCGATTTCAGCTCTTAGCCCAGTAGCAGCTATCCACCTCCCACCCCAGCCAGGGGAGGCAGCTGTACATATATTTTTAAACTGCTTGCACACAGCTTGCTGGAGCCAAGGTGACAAACAGGACCCTGTCATCCAAACACAGAGGATGGGTGCTCTGATTGATGATGACTGATACTTCTGATTTCTGAGGTGCAGATTAAAAGATCACTTGTTATTTTTTTTGCACCTGCCCCCATTGCTGCCAGCCTTTCTTTCTCTAACTGAAATACTTCCAGGGCATTTAAAGGGCAGGTGCTCCCCCCATCCCCACTCACTTTCCTATTTCTCCCTTTTTGGAAGCCAGGCATTAAGGACTAGAATATTCTAAAAATAACTGCATACATGGGGAAAACTATAAAGTGACTATGTATGCCCAGGGAGTCTGAGATGATTTTAAGGTTATTTTTCAGGGTAATCTTTGGCACAGAGATAGCCTGCATGCAATACTTAAAAAAGAAAAGAAAAAAGAAAACCAATAGCAAACACTGGCAGACCCTGGAGAACAGAGAAAGTCCAGTTTCCAGGATTGCCACACTGCGAGATTTAAATGTCCAGTTCTTAATAAAAAAATCACAAAGTGTATGAAGAAGTAGGATAAATACGGCCCATTCAAGGGAAACAAATAAATGGACAGAAAATGTCTCAAAACAAAAAAAATACCAGGTGTAAAGCTATACAACAAAGAAGTCTTCAAGATTTCCAAGAACTTAAAGAAGATGTGAAGAATTTTGTGAACAACATGGAAATATCAACAAAGAGACAGAAAACCCAAAAAGAAAAAGAAAAAAGAAATTTTGGAGCTGAAAATACAGCAACTAAAACGAAAAATTCATAGGAAAAATTCAAAGGTAGATGAAGCAGGCAGAAAACAGAATTGGTGAAATTTAAAACAGGACAATGAAAATTATTGTGTCTGAAAGAAAGAAAGAAAAATGAAAAATAATTGAAAAGTGAATGGAGCAGTTCGGTGGCCTGCCTTGTAAGCGCAAGGACCCAAGTTCAATCCCCGGTACCAAAAAAAGAAAAAGAAAAAGAAAAGAAAAGTGAATGGAGCCTAAGAAACCTGTGGGACTGACTCATCAACAGACCACCAAGGTGAGCAACATATTCACTGGGGCAACCCAGCAGGAGAAGGGTGAGAGAAAGGAGAGATGATTTCAAGAACTAAATGCTGAAAACGTGCCAAAGTTGATGATGAAAGATATGAATGTAAACACCCTAGAAGCTCAACAAACTTCAAGTTAGATAACTCGAACTTCAAGTTAGATGAACCACAAATAGAATGGTTATAGAATACATACAAAAGAAAATGATAATGAAATTTAAACATTTCACTAAAATTTCAAATAAACACAAATAAATCAGCAATACAGGAAATAAAGGACCAGAAAAGTTATAAGGAAGAAATGGAAAATCCAAAATGGCCTATTAGCTAGTAAGGAGCTTGAGTAAGGAAAAGTATCTCCCACCAAGGGAAAGGCCTAGATTTGATGGCTTTGCTGATAAAAGCTACCAAACATGTAAAGAGCTAATATCAGTTTTCAATTCTTTTTTAAATCGAAGAGGAGAGAGCATACCCTAAATTACTCCATTGGGTGAGCATTGCCTTAATAATACCAAAGCCAGACAAAGATTCTACAAGAAAATAAAACTGTAGTCCAATATCTCATTCGCACATTGGTGCAAAAAACCTCAACAAAACACTAGAAAACCAAATGTGATAGCATATTTAAAGAATTATACCAAGTGGAATTTATACTGGAATGCAAAGATTTTTTTCAGCATATAAAAATTGATCAGTGTAAAACACCACATTAACAGAATGAAGGACAAAACCTCACTTGATCGATCATTTCAAGTGAAGTAGCAAAAGCATATGTCAAAATTCAATACCCTCCCAAGATAACAAGATTCAACAAACCAGCAATAGAAGGAAACTACCTCAACATAATAAAAGCCATGTACTGCAAAACCCACAGCCAACCTCTCACTCACAGGTGAAAACCTGAAAACTTTTCCTTTAAGATCAGGCAAAAAATAAGTAATCCCGCTTTTGCCACTTGAATATACTACCCAAAGTTATAGCGAGAGGAATAAGGCAAGAAAAAGAAAAAGAAACAACAACAAAAAAAAATCCAAAATGCAAAGGAAGACGTAAAATTAGCTCTGTTCACGGATGATATGATTTTATATATAAAAAGCTCTAAAGATCCCAAGCAGAACTGTTAGACTGAATAAATGAATTCAGTGAGATAGCAAGATAAAAAAGAAAATCAGCTGAATTTTCATTCTTTAACAATGAAAGAACATTTTCAAAAGCAATTCCATTTACCATAGCATCAAAAACAATAAAATTAATGAAAGAAGTGAAAATTTTATACAACAAAAACTATAAAACATTGCTGAAAGAAATTAAAGACACATCCCCCAGTGTTGACTACACAAAATGGGCTACTGACTCATTCAGTAGATTACTGATGCAATCTCTATCAAAGTCTCATTGATATTTCTTGCAGAAATAGGAAAAATTAATCTGAAAATTCTTATGAAATTTTAAGAGACCCCCAAATAACCCAGACAATCTTGAAAAATAAGAATAAAGCTAGAAGAGCTGTACTTCCTGATTTTCAAGCTAACTACAGTGCTACAACAATTACAACAGCGTGTCACTGGGAGATGGACAGACATATACAGCAACAAACCAGAATAGAGAGCCTGGAAATAAACCCTCGCATATATGATCAAATGATCTTTGAACATTCAATGAAGAAACAACAGTATTTTTCAACAAATGCTGCAGGGATAACTAGATATCCATATGCAAACAAAAATGAAGTTGTATCTTTACCTAGTACCACATAGAAAAATTAACTCACAGTGGGTAAAAGGATTAAGCATAAGGCCTACAACGCTAAGACTCTTCATGGAAACACGGGAAAATTTCACTACACTGGGCATGGTAATTATTGTTTTGGCTATGACACCAAAGACATAGGCACCAAAAAATACACAAATTGGACTTCACAAAAAATTTTAAATTTGTCCACCAATCGTTAATGTTTAGGGGAACAAAGCCCACATATTTGCAAACTTGCAAATTATATATATGGGGGTCATCTGGAGATCAAATCCAGGGGTGCTCTACTACTTAGGTAGATCTATTTCTTTTTTAAAATATGCTCATTTTGAGACAGGACCTTGCTAAGTAGCCCAGGCAGAACTTGAACTTTCCATCTTCCTGCCTCAGCCTCCCTTGTTCCTGAGATTACAGACATGTGCCATCACACCTGGGTACAAATCATATATTTCACAAGACATTAATATTCAAAACCTATACAGAATCCCTGAAAGTGACCAATAATAACAACTCAATTAAATTGGACAAAGAACTTGAATAGGTATTTATTCAAAGAAGATATACAAATGACCAATAAGCACATGGAAAGGTGTTCAACAGTGCTAATTATTAAGGAAATACAAGCCAAAACCACAATGAGGTACCATTCACGTCCATTAAGATAACCACTATATACAAAAAACTAACAAAATAGCAAGTGTTGGCATGGATATGGAGAAATTGGAATGTTCATGCACTATTGGTGGTAAAATGTAAAATGGAAGCAGTGTGGCAGGTCTTCAAAAATTTAAATTAGAATTGCCATATGATCCAGCAGTTCCACTTTTAGATATATACCCTAAAGAATCCCAGGTCTCAAAGGCTATTTGCACACTCATGTGCTCGGTATTATTCACAGTAGCTGAAAGGTGAAAAGCAACCCAATGGCTATACACAAAACGTAGTATGCACATACGGTGGAATATTATTCAGGTTTGAAAAGGAAGAGAATTCAGATATACCAAATGGATGAATCTTCAGGGGATTCTGTAAGTAAGTCAATCACCAAAAAAGACCAAAAATGTATAGAAATGATTCAATTTCTGCGAGGGTACACAGTGTAGACAAAATCACAGAGACAGAAAATAGAATGGTAGTTGCCAGTGGCTGTGTTGGGGAAGGAAGAATGGAGAATTACTGTTTGGTGGGTGTAGAGTTTCAGTTTTACAAGAGTTTTGGAGATAGATGGTGGGGATGGATGGTTGTACTAAAACAGTAAACTAGTGCATTTTGTCATATGTATTTTATCAAAACACTGAAAAACACATGTGTGTATAAATGTAAGATAAAAATGAACAAATAAGTGAAAAAAATCCAACTATAGTGATAAGGTTGAAGTTTAGGACAGCTGTTACCTGGCCAGTGGGGAGGGAAGGGGAAACGGCAGGATAGACAAGGGGGACATGGGGAGATAGAAATTATTGGCCATATTCTGGGTCTTTTGATAAATTAATATAGATAGCATATAACCTAAAAATCATGGTCAATCTAATATTGTCTATTGTCTAATATTGTAGATATGAATATGTACATTTGGAAGGGGTATGAGAAATGGCCTCTCTTTACAAACCCTGAAGAGCTCACACCCAGATTGTGTTGTTTGAACCTGATTTGGCATTTCTGGAAGCCCTGGTATGACAAGGTTATTTACAGGAATTCTACCTTGGAGAAGACAAGAGGGGTGTGAATGGTTTTTAAGTATTTGAAGGGCTGCTACATTAGAAGAGGGATAAACATTTATTCAGATTGCAGAGAAAAGAAATAGAAACAGTGGCTAATTATGAATTTTGGAGCTTGCTAATGATGGCAACAACATGAGTTCTTTTACTTCAAGGGAGAGATTGCCTTTTCCAGCCTTTGGCAAAAAAGAAATCCCTTAGGGCCTTTCCAGTTTCTGGTCTCAGAAAAGTGGGGCAAATTTAAGACTTTCTGAACAGTGTGCTAAAATATAAAAATGGGTTGAGGTGCAATATGAAAGTGAATTTATTCCAAATGAAATGTAAAAGACATAGAATTCTTGCAAAATTTATGATTGATGTTCTATTTTGTTTTTATTGGTAGACGCAACTCTTTCCCCACTCTATTATTGGGTTGGACACTAATCATGTAGTAACTTGTGGTATTTCCTACATGGCTGCTGAACATTTCTAGTGTGTACGGCTCACTTTTCCAATTAGGATGTAAACTTCTTGAGATAAAGGATTGTCCTACATCCTTTGCACATTTCACAGTGTTTTTCCTAGGACAGGAGCTCAATGTGGTTATTTGATGTCTGATTACCATAGTGTTTGTTGGTTTCATTCATTCATTCTTTCCTTCGTTCACTCAGCAGTTCTTTACTGAATATGTGCTTTGTTTGTGAAGAGGGTGAAAGTGTAAGAGCAGAGGTGCCTTTGGATAGGAGGGTTAGTTTCATTCCCTGGAGGCTGAGTGCTAGGGTTCATCTTTGCTAGTCTGTTGCTTTATTTCCAGAGGGCAAGCACAATAGATCAGGGGGATGCCACCCAGTGTGCTCACCTGGATAGATCCTGAAGAATCCAGTTGAGCTGCCAAAATATTGCCAGGTCAGTGTAGGGTCTCTTTGGAAGTTCTCCACAAAAACAGGGTTCAATGCCTCAGACATGTAGACTCCATTTAAAATGTCTGGATCTGAAGGTGTGAGATGATAAAAGGAGTTTTAGGGGAAACCAAGCAGGAAGTAACAGTGAACAAATGTTCACATGCTAAATGCACACATTTTCATATACATACATAGACTGCGGTGGTACAGTTTAGAATGTCTTTCTATATCTCACGTGAAAAGTCACTCACACCCTTTGATCCGGAAACACTTACTTTTCTCCCAGCCTGTGTGCTGTGGTTTACATGTGTCCCTCAAAAATTCATGTGTTGGAAGCTTGGTCCCCAGTGTGGCAATGTGAGAGGTACTAGAGCCTAGTGGGAAGTGTTGGGCACTGCTCTAGGAAGGAATTTTTGTGTTTCTTATGGGATCCTGGTTACTTCTGAGAGAGGGTTGTTATATAAGAGCACACCTGGCTCCTCTACACTTTGGCTTCCCATCTTCCCATGTGATCCCACTATGATGTTATTCACCATGTTGCGATGTGACCAGGGGGCCCTCCCCAGAGCCAGTGCTATGCTGTTTGAAAATTCAGACTCCTAAATGCTGAGCTAACCCCTTTCCTCATAAGTTGCTCAGCTGCAGGTGTTTTGTCATACCAGTGGCAAACAAACTAACAAGCACACCATTATGGTGTGAAATAATTTCTCTTCTCGTCCTCTGTCAAGGAGGCTGGAGAGAAAATGTATGGCCCTGCTTCTCAGGGAAATGGAGACAAAGTCATGAAAAACTTCCATTGTCACCACCCTGCTGACAATTGCCAAATGGCCAGAGAAGAGTGACCTTTGTTGTACACGTTGGTGGGCAGCTGCACACTGCTGATGGAGGTGTTCACTCTCAGGTTGCTGAAGTGTGCATTGGACTCCAGGATGAACTCGGCGCCCAGCTCCACAAAGTTGCCTTTCTCATCTTTCTCATTGATCAGGACTGAGTTGTAGTAGTCAAACTACAGACAGCAGGGACGAGCCAGACGGAGACAGAGACACAGGGGTGTGCAGAGTGAGAGAGAGAGAAAGGACTGTGATGTGAAAGGCAGGACAGGATAGACTGCGGTGTCCATACATGCTCTACTGGGTGGAGAATCCAGGCAAAGGATGGGCCGATTCAGGGACAATAGGCATCCGGATAAATGGAGCGAAGGGCTGGTTAGGTTGGGTTTTGATGTAAGCTGTCCTGATCATTGCTTTGGCTCTCCACACTTTAGCATATGTGGACACATCCAGAGCTGGAGATGGAGATGAGAAGACCCATAAGAGAGGTGAGGTGACACAGAGCCTCATCAGTACTGTCTCTTCCTGGAGACAGGACGGGTGGGAAGAGTCCTGGAGACACAAGTGATACCCAGGAGTCTCTGGGCCTAGGCCCGAGGCTGCAGTTTCCACGTCCTACTCCAAAGGGCAGGAATCCTCTCTCTCTGCCTCTAATGGGCAGTGGTGGAGGATCGGCTTTGATAACTATGCTTAGAGCCATAAGCAGGTCCTCTTCCCATTCCCTCCATGCACCAGAGCCCTCCCTGTGTCACTGCAACGCAATCACTGTGCCACTGCCACACACTCTACTGCTCCCAGCACCATCTCACAGCCATGCGGCCAGCATTAGCCTTCTACAGCACATGCCTAGCTATGTCCCCCACTCCAATCCTTCAATACTCATCATTCCTTAAGCAGAGAGACCAGATCCTGGTTTTGGCATTCAAGGCTCCCACCACATTTCTCAACACCTCCCCAAGGCCACCTTCTGCTTCCATCCTCTGGCCACACAAAGCTGACCACTCACTGTATTGTCAACCAGCCTTGTGTTTTCTTATTTCTGTTTCTTCTCCTTTCCCTAACTCTAAGAACTCCTCTCCATGCCTTGACTGCCCAAATCCCAGCAGCCTGAGGTCCAGCCCTAGAGCCACACCCATTCGTGTGAACTTTTTTGGGGGTGGGAAGGGTTCTGGGGATCGATCTCAGGACCTTACCCTTTCGAGGCAGGAGGAGGCACCACTGAGTTAAGTCTCTGGCCCGGTGAACTTCTTGAAGTCAAGTCTGTCTCACTCTTGAGGCCAGTTCATGGGTGGGGCTGGACAGCCCATATTTGTAGAATGAGTGGATTACCACTCTGCACCCCCAATCCCATAGCCACACTCAGGCCCCTGGATCTGGTTGCCCTGGGTAGGTGCTGGGGCAGTGCTCATCAAACCCTCCCAGCACCAGTTCTAGAAGAGCACTCACCACCAGGGATGCATTGAATTCGTGATTCAGGTCAGCCTCCTCAGCAGCCTCCACGAGACTCTGAGAGAAGGGGATGCAAAGGGGAGAGAGAAAAGGTAAAGGGGCCACAGGTCTGAGGTAAGGTGAACAGAGTCATCAGGTGACCCGGCCACACCTCTCCTACTACATACTCTGAGTGAAGTTCCTCTGTTCTCCCTCTCTCCTTTTCTCCTTTCCCCTTTTCCCCTTTGACTGTGAAGACTCATCCTTTGTCATCCACAGATACTCAGAGGGCTTCCGGGCTAGCAGAGGTGCTTACACAGATGCTGAAGTGATTCTGTCACTAGACATCCATCACCTTGGCAGGGTGGGGTAGAAAGGGAATGTGTTCCCTTCCTTGCTAAGAAGTCCCTACTCTGGATGCTGGCCGGGACTTGACTGGTATAAACCAGTAGATGCAGCCCCCCACTCCTCCTAGCCAGGAATTGGACCATCCCAAACCAGCATGATTCTTGAAAGGACTCTTCAGACAGTCACAGCCCCCGAGGAGCCAAGAGAGGAGGTGGGGTGGAGGGGAGGGTGGTTGGCAAACCTTGACGGCCTCCACTTTCCTCCGCAGCATGTTCTCCATGTCCGCGGAGAACTTCCTCACCAGCTCCAGGCCATCCACCTCCTTGATCTTCAGACTCGGTTCTGCATCCTTGTATTTCTGTTCAGGGTGATGTGGGAGAGACAGGCACTCATTGTCTTGTACCAGGATGCCGGCACCCGATTACACACAGTTCTATCCTCAGCAAGCTCATGAGCATGTGCACAGCCTTGTTTTCTCCACTGAGGGCAAGGACACGCCCTCTGCTCTTCCCATAACCTCCCCAGTAATAATGATACCTGCCTCTTTTGGATTGCCCTGTTTCAGGGCTTCTAGCCACATTGCAGTTAATGTCTTTGCTGGAGAGTAGACTCCAAATCATTAAACTTGACCAAGGCCAACAACCAATGAGCAGCACAGCCTGAATGGAGCAGCACAGCCCCACTTCCAGGTCCACGCTCTTCAGAGTCCCACAGCTTCCCTGCCACCTGCTCACATTGACAGAGCGCCCACCTGAAGCATTTGTCCTCCCATCTCCAGTATACCAGAAAGTTCATGGTGCTTTCCAGGCTCCCCTGAGCATTTCCAGGGAGCCCAGGACAGCCGGTTCTAGTTCATTCCCGCTGTGTGTACCACGAATGTCTGTCGACCCAGCTGTGCGACCTCATGGTCCTGTGACCTTAGGCAAGGCACTCAATTTCCTTGTCTGCAAGACGTGACAGCTGTAGAATATGTTCTAGATGCATTGACTACAGACTGCCCTTACCCAGCATGGCTGCACAATCACCTCCCTTCCTTTCTCACTTGGGGTTGGAGGGTGCAAAGGAGAAATCGAACAAGCTGGTGTTTGCAACCTAGGGGTGTGCTGTGAGTATAGGCTGAGTCTCAGCTCTCATGGGGGCAGTGGCTCTGGACAGGGTGAACCCCTCACCCACCTCCTTCAACAGGAAGACCTGGGGCTGTGGGGAGAGGAGCCCAGGGAGGGCAGCAGTGTGGTCACGTGCAGGTGGAAAAGCCGAGATTTGACATCGTTTATAAGATGGAAGAGGTGCTTCGTGGAGTTGTGCTGAGAATTAATCACGAATATAAAGCTCTTAGCGAGTGGTAATAATAGAGAAGGGCAAGCTATTATTAAACTGCTCTGGGAGTTATAACTACCAGAGAAAAATGAAGTTGGGTGTTATCTGGTACAAGGACAGGCCAGCTATGAATCTGCATGTAAAGTACTCAATAAACAAATGGGAGGAGGTGCTGGGGCACCATCCCCTCCCGCTTCTGTTGGGAGCCCAGGCCTGGGTCCAGGCCTTTGCTGGGAGTGCCTGGAGGGCCTGGAACCAGAGGTGAGGGCAGTTGTCCCCACACAGATGACCACCGGCCGGCCACCCATGTGCCTCTACCCAGGGCCTTACGCTGCCCCTTGAGGTTCTGGTGCCCTTCTCTCATGTCCCCTCCCCATTGTGGGAGTCAGTCCTGCGTCTCAGCCCCTCTGCTCCCTCTCCTCCCTTTTCTTCACATCCCCTAGTCTCTTGCAGGTCTAATGCCATCTTGGCTTTTTGAGGACCTGAACGGACAACACTCGACTTTGTCCCTGTTCTAGTCCTACTGACTGACTCTGCGCTAAAAACATCATGCACCTCTCTGGGCCTCAGTTTCCGCAACTGAAAATGAGTGGATTGGGTAAGACGATCTCAAAGACCTCACAGACATTCCAGGACTCTAATTTTCTACCAGAAAGTAGACCTGGGGAGACCGCCTGGAGTGGGGACACTGACCTTCTGCAGCAAGAGGGAGCCCGAGTATTTGGTGATGGTGTTGTACAAGTCACTGCCAAAGGTATCTGCCCACAGCTTCACCCTGTGAGGGATGAAAGCACACTTGTGAACATGCGCAGACACAGAGGTGGGGACATACACACAGAGGCACACAGATACACACACATGCAAAGCAAGGCTACACACAGACAGACACCCATGTAAACACAGAGTCACTGTGATACATACAAAGATCCACACATGTACAGGGGCACCCATACACACGTGCACACTCAAACACACACAGAACACTCCTGTCCCTTCTGTTCTGGTTGTGGCCTGTTCTGGCAGGCAGCAGTTGGAGAGCCCGCCAGGGACTGCAGCCACACTGTGGTTTAGTGAGCCCATGGCTGGGTCTTCTGCTGAGGTCACGGGGCTGATGAGCCCGACCCACACAGACCCCAAGCTTCCAAGGACTCTGGCCTTTGAGTGAAGCAAGGAGTGGGAGAGACGGTGGGCAGAGCAAGCAGGGAGGGGAAAGCACAGGGAGGGAACAGATACAAGTCTCCAGGAGCTGTTCACACTATATTTCCCTCTCCAGGGTCACCAGGGACCACTGGCTTTTGGCTGAAACCCAGGGACAGTGTCAGAAGGGGTAGGAGAAGGCTCCAAGTGGCAGCTGCAGAAGCTGAGAGCTGGGCTGGCTTGGAGGGCATGGGGAGGCCTCCCCTCAGCCTTGGGTGTGGGTAGTGCAGTGAGGACCCTGGAGCTCCCATTCAGCTCCAAGAAGTGCACTGCAATTGCCCCATGGTTGGCATGTGCAGTTTTCGGGGCATCCAGGGGCCCTGGGAAGGGTGCATCCCTGTCTGAGGCTCCCCACATGCAGCAATTGTCATGTGCCTGTGTGACCATGTCTAGGTCAGCATTTGCTCAGGTGCTCACACAGTATTCACTGAGGTCTTACTATGGGCCCGCCATTGTGCACAGCCTGGAGCCACACCGCAGTGTAGTGTGATGCACATCTGAACGTGGCTGGTGAAGCCTGGGGAGGGGTGGTGGTGGTGAGGGAAGGCTTCCTCAGGCAAGTGGGTTCCAGGTCAGCGTGTGGGAGAAGTTAGCCCAGCAAGGAGATTAGGAAGAGAATTCTAGGAAGGGAGTACAGAATTGCTCAAAGGAGTCAAAAAACAACTTCCGTGTTTCCAGCTTGAGCCATTGAGCTCATGGTGATATTATCAGACAGAATTAAGAGTTATCAGGAAGGGCAGGTTGGGGAGAGTGGAAGGTGTGGCTTGGGTGACGTTGAATGTGAGGTTCCTATTACAGGGCTGCTGAATTCCATTGGCAGGATGTGCACTGCACAACTCTAGAAGGCATCAAATGATATATTTTGAAACACCCAAATTTAAAACGTCCCACGATGTTCAGGAGGATGTGTCTACAGGCTTTGGGTATGCGAGTCATGAGCACATAGGTAGGGGTTGAAATCCTGGGGTTAGAGGGCTGCTCTCAAGGAGAGTGTGCTGCATGAGCAGACCTGTGGGTGCAGTCAAACACCTGGGGCACAGGCAATCTCAGGGCCATGCAGATGGAAAGAAGTACTTGGCAAAGATAGAGTGAACTCAGGAGTCCACAGGAAACTGGGAGAGAGTGCAAGGTTCCAAAAGATTCAGGGGTCAGGGAGCTGCAAAGCAAAAGGTGCGGGGGATGAGACAAGAATGTCTCCTGGAGTGGACAATGGATGGGAGGTCTCAGGTGACCTTGACAAGGACAGATTTGGAAGGGCAGGTGGCATAGGCTGGGGCTGAGTGGGAGGCTGCACATGAGATGTGGGAGGGTCTGAGGGGTGGGGAGGCTGAGCAGAAGGATCCAGTAGGAGAGAGTGTGAAGATCAAGGGAGGAGCCTCCAGGTTAGGACCTGGGAGGAGTCAGGATCCCAGGCACAGGAGGTGCCATCACCTCAGCCTGCTCTAAGGTTGCTGTGCAGATGGCAGCTCTGAGGCCTCCTGCACAGAGATCTGGATTCCAGCCATCTGTCCCTGGCCCCCAGCCATTCCTGGAGCTTGTCATATCCTGTCAGGTGGCCTGTGCTCCGGGATGCAGACTGTTCTCAGCATCTCTTTTGGCAACGCGTGGTTTCACAAGCCAGCAGCAGGTATCCCGGTGAAGCAAGGCTCAGGTTCTGCCACTTTGGTTTACTGGCCTTGGGATTTGAGGGAGTCATCTGACCTCCTTAAGCCTCTGTTTTCACGGTTGTATAACAGATAATGTTGTCCACCTCACTAAACTGCTGTGTGGACTAAGGCACCAGGCACCATCTCAGGCATAGATCAAAAGCCACACTGCCCAATCCACCTCCCCAAAGCTAAGCAATGCGTTGTTTGGGCTCCCCACCTCCCATTGCTAAGATATGTAGTTGGCAGCTGGCTGTGCAGTAGCCTTGCTGGGCTTGAGGGGCTGCTGTTAGTTGTGGACTGAGCAGGTAGCACCTTCAGTGTAGAATGTGCTGCTCCCCACATGGATTAGAAATCTCTTTACTAGGACCTCCAGGGCCTAAGATTGAAAAACATCCTGGAGAATTTGCACAGTAGTTTTTGCCACGGCATTTACAACTGATAACAGATTCTTTCCTGGAGCTGGTCTCCATGGTGGGGTATAAAATTAAGGCCCAGAGGAGGCAGAAATGTATAGAAAAGGAGAATGAGGCCACCGAAACCCAATTTTACCTAGTCCTTGGACAAGGCACCTTCCTTTTTCATGGTCATTCCATAAGTTTAGCACAGCTCTATCCTTTCAGAATGTGAAAGTACAGATTTTCTAGCAAGTCCTGTGGGGAGCCATGATGATCAACTTCAGAACCAAAGTAGCCCCCACCAAGCAACCTCATCACAGTGAATGTCATGGAGAGAGCATCCACCCTGCAAGTGTTGGACATGCAGATTTTCACGCCAGCAAGGAGAGCGAGTCCTGAAGTTCATTCTGCTTGAAGCCATCAGGCTCCAAGGAGAGGGCAGGCAGGACTCCAATTCAAGAAGAGACTATGGGAAAAGAGGAGGGCAAGGCAGAAAAGGTCTTTACAGCAAGGCAGTGAGCAGGGAAGAGCCCAGAGGGTCAGAGCAGAGGATGGAGATCTGCCAGGGGAATGAAGAAGAAAGCACAGAAGATTTTCATGGGAGGAAGGGAGGGGGTTGGACTTGATGCTTACGTTTCCAGAGGAATCTTGGTCTGACCCCATGTGGGGGTCAGGGAGGTGCTGGACAGCAGTAGCCACAGGATGACCACAGTCTTCTGCAGGCAGGCCCTGGCCCGTAGCTGCTGGTGGCAGGGGATCCCAGTGCTAGTGGAGCCAGGATTTGGGAGGAATCCAAGCATGATGTACCTGCTGGGCTCAGAGAAGAGGAAAGAGCAGTCCCAGCCTATGAGCTCTCTCTCCTGTCACCTAGGTCCCTGGGATCTCTAGAGCCTTCTGCCTGTGTGGTCTCAGAAATCTTGGGGTCCTCAGCCTCTCAGCAGGGTCCCATAGCAGCAGCTAGCCCCAGACAGCAGATCTCTGGGCATGGGGTTGGCCAGCCCAGTGGGAGAGCCTGGGACAAAATGATCCCCTCTAATCCATCAGCTTCTCCTCTAATCCCTGTCTGACAGTAAAGGAGGGGCTGTCAGGAGTTGTAGGGTGACCTCAGTGGGATTATCCTAATTCCAGTTCTCCCCGTGCTGGCCAAGCACACCCGTCTGTTTTAAAGATACAGACCTGTGCCCACATAATAGCCCTGGGTCATGGGGAAAAAGAATACTGTTACCCTGGCTAGAGGTCCAATGCTTTGATTGAAGGAGACCATATAAAACCCTATCTTTAACTTAGAGCAGCCCTGGGAGGATGCTGGTATTGGCTCTGATTTGTAGGATCCTCAAGTCTTGGGGAGGTGAGGGGCAGGGTTGGGAGTGTGGCTCAGGGTTCCAGGCTTGGGGACTTTGGGTCAGTTGACAAGTAAGCCAAAAGTCTGTGAGCTCCATGCCCCAGTACCCACATGCAAAATTCCCTGTGAGAGACATTTCCTGTGACATTGATGATACTTCTGGGAATGGACTCCTTCCTCTCTCCCCAGAGTTCCTAGGCCAGATATTTTTATAAAATTTGCACAAGTAAGACAATTGAGCCACAACTGGTTAACGGTTGTATCTTTTTGCATCCTGACTTATCCTCTGTCTGACTCTTAGTTTGAGTGGCTGTGAGCATTTGGGGGATGCAGCTCACAGGGGAAGTTGAATTGGGGAAACATTTCAGTGGGGCTTAGTAGGATATATTTGGGTCACTCATGGTCACTTTCTCTTACAGACAAGTCATATCTAGCTATCCTTGGGTAGAAAAGAATTTGGGAGCACACACAACCCACAGGACATGGGGACAGGAAGGTGCCGCTGGGAGGAGGTATCCTAGGGCAGATATGTCCTGCAGTGCTTGCTGCTGGTAGCATGTGGCAGGGCACAGAAAATAAGGTTCCCATGCACTGAGAAAGGAGCTGTAGATGGCAGGGAATCCTTTCAAAGGTAAAAATTCAGCAGAGGATTTACTGGCCAAGGCAGGCATTAGCTCTCCTGACTGATTGAATGTTATAAACATGCTACACACTGGCCTCTTTTCTGCTGGGAATGATACAGACCATACTGGATCACATTCCTTGTGATTGTGGGCACAGGCATGCCTAGGGTCTCTGCATGTGCGGCTGCACATCCTGTACGCCCCAAGCATCAGACGCAGTGTGACTGCTGTGTCTTGTTGTGAGGAAATCTGGTGGCTCCAGGAAAATGGTACGCAAAGTTGCCACCAACGCGGTAAAATGCTTGGAGAAGCAGTGTTCAAGTGACAAATCACCTCCACACATTCGTCAATAAGTCAGTGTTGTAGTATCAGTAATTTGGGTACACAGTTATGTGGCTCCACTCAAAGTGGCAGCAGTTTTTAAACACATTTGAAAGGTCCCTGTGAAGGTTTTCATTTCAAATTAATATTATATAATAATAACATGTTTCAGAATAGCAGATTTGTATAAATTTAGCAAAAATACTGTTGGATATGTTGGACAGCTTGTGAGTAAAAGAATATGTGATGTTTCTAGGCATTATAATTTTTGTGGTATTTATTGGCTCCTTAAAATTTGAAATTTGGAATGATTTTTAAAATTCTAGACAAATCTTCACCTTTTCCCATTTTTTTAGAAAGGCAAAATACATGTACAATTTGCCAGCTAGACCATTTTTGAGTGTGTAGGGCAGTGTAATTGAATAATTCATAATGGTGTAAAACCACCACTGCTGTATGTCTCCAAAATGCTTTTTATCTTGTAAAATTCAAACTCCATACCAGTTAAACAATAACTCCTCATTCTCCTTTCCCTAACCTGCCACTGGCAGCCACCATTCTTCCTGTCTCCATGATTTTTTTTTTCAGCTTTAATTGAGTTTATTGGTACATTTTAGGGATACAGTACAGTTACATTCATTGTTGGGATCTTGTACCCCTACATGACAAGTCTTGATTCTCATTTTTTCCCCTTACCCCTGCCCTCCCTTCACCCCCTCCTCCCTTCCCCATCTACAAATACCTTATTTCCATCTTTTCATTGTCTCACATTTTTTTCTTTTCCCTTATTACCCTTCCACTACTCACCCCACCTTCCCTACACCTTTAGCTCCTTTCTTCCCTTTTCAAAATGTCAGTAATCTTATTAGGATTTTATGTATTATTGCAGATTATTCACACCAGAGAAGCTATTTGGTATTTACACATGTGTGACTTATTTATTTCACTTAGGAGTATATCCTCAATATGTATCCATTTTCCTATGAATGAATCTATTTTCACATTCTTTGTGGCTGAGCAATATTCCATTTTATAGAAGAACCACATCTTCTTTATCCAGTTTCCAATGGATGGGCAAATGGGCTATTTCCAAGATTTAGCTATTACAAACTGTGCCGCTATAAACATGGGTGCACATACTTCTCTGTGATATGATTCTTTTAGTTCTTTTGGAAAGATACCCAGCAGAGGGATGGCTGGGTCAAATGGAACCTCCAGTCCAAGCTGTTTGAGGTTTCTCCATATTGATTTCCATAGTGGTTGCACTAGTCTGCACTCCCACCAACAATGGAGAAGGGTTCCTTTCTCCCCACA